TGTTCAGCCACATCCAAAAGGGCTTAAGGCCCCACCCAATGGGCAGCTACATGAGAAATATTTTATACCCATTCAGAGCTGCTCACCCTGAGCTCAGCTCCTTTCGGGACCCTTCCTGGAATGCAAGCTAGAGAGACTGTGCCCTATCCCTTCTAATTACCACGTGAAGGGAGAGTGAGATGGAGGAAGAGTGAACTACTGAAAACTGAGTCACTGGAATAGGAACTTGGAGATTCCGTAACTGCCTCAGGGGAGCTTTATCATCTTCTCTGGAATTTAAGATGCTGTCCACTGGGAGGAGAGGAAAGGCTCAAGGGAAAGAACTAAACTCAGCTTCCAAGGAGTTGTCAAAATCCACCTTATTAGCAAAAGCTGAATTTAAACTCTATGCCATTGGGACTTCCCTGTTGGCACAGTGGTTAAGAATCCACCTGCCAATGCAGGGGACACGGGCTCAATCCCTGGTCCAGGTAGATCCCACATGCTGCAGAGCAAGTAAGCCAGTGCGCCACAACTACTGAGCCTGCGCTCTAGAGCCCGTGAGCCACAACCACTGAAGCCCATGTGCCCAGAGCCCGTGCTCCATGACAAGAGAAGCCACTACAATGAGAAGCCCCCGCACCACAACAAAGAGTAGCCCCAGCTCGCCGCACCTATAGAAAGCCCATGCGCAGCAACGAAGACCCAACACAGCCAAATATATATATATATAAATAAATAAAAGAAACTTTATTAAAAAAATAAAAATAAACTCTATGCCATCAACTAACTCAGCTCCTAATTTTTTTTCCCAATAACTCCTTGGTACTCACTGCTGGTTCTTCTGCCATCTCTACTTCCTCCCCATAAACTTGAGAGCCTTGGCTGTGAGCAAGAAGTCTCTGTTGCCCTTCCCCAGACCCAAAAACTGAAGGGGTGAAAACCCCCAAAACACAGGGCAGAGGAACTTATATTTCTAAGGTCTCTCGTTTTATTATTCAATACTGGGCATGTAGCCCAAGGCCTGCTGTTCTAGCTGGCTTCAGAGATCTTGCAATGTGTGATTTTAAGAAGCACTCTTTACCTAGTTCATCACTTCCAAGTAATTACAATTCCAGAAAACTAAAGGACATGGCACAAATTCTTCCATCCCAGAAGGGTCCCTACTCTTTCCCAACCTTTTCAAGTTCAGGATACATAAGAGAAGAAGTACTGATCTACGTATTAAATACAAGATGAGACACAATTCAGTACACTGTTGCTCTTACACAAAGATGAAGTAAACTAAGGGTCATTAATCACAGGAATTAAACAAATGCTAATTTGTTATTTCTCAAACAGCTGGTCTTTGACACTGGCACCTCTTCCAGAGAAAGGCAGAGATGATGGCATATGGGTACACTGTCACTGATGTTTACAAATACTGCCCTCTTGGAATGTGGCTTTATTGGCCCAAACAACATGCTGTAGTTAACTGGGTGTGGCAACACATTTGTCTACCCGCCATTTGCCCCTCTTCCCTACCTACAGAACCCCAGAGCATTCTTAGTGGCATGGCAGTGTGCCAGCCCCAAGGGATTAATCACAATCCTCTTTGCTGGATACTCACTTTCCCAGCCTCCACTGCAACTCCGAGTGGCTCTATGATCCAGCTCTGGTCAATAAGATGTAAGAGGAATACACCTGGGGATGGAGCGCCAACAGAAGAGAGCCCTCACTGCTCCCTTCCTTTCTGCTTGGGTCATTAGTGGGAAGATGTGGCGCCTGGAGCTGCAAAGCTTTCTTTAAGGCCTGAGGTCGCTAACACAAGGAAGAAAAGCTAACATGATAACAGAGATACATATTTTATAAATTAGAGTTATATTATAACCTGCTTTTTTCACTTAACACATAAGCATTTTTACACTTCATTAAATATTCCTTGAAAATATAATTTATAATGGTCACAATGTGTACAGTTCCTTAGAATGATTGCCCCATAGTTTAACTGATTCTCTATTGTCAGAAATGAAGGTAGTTCTGCTTTGCTATTCACTGTGGGAACACAAAAGTATACACATCTCAAATGATTTCCTTAGGATAAGTATAATTGGTGGGTCAACTTATGTACTTTAATGACTTTTTTTTTTTTTTGGCCACGCCACGTGGCTTGTGGGATCTTAGTTCCCCAACCAGGGACTGAACCCAGGCCCTCAGCACTGAAAGTGCAGAGTCCTAACCACTGGACCACCAGGGAATTCCCTAACGACTTTTATTTTTTTAAATTTTTATTTTTTTTAATTTTTGGCTGCATTGGGTCTTTGTTGCTGCGCGCGGGCTTTCTCTAGTTGCGTCAAGCAGGGGCTACTCTTAGTTGCACTGGGCAGGCTTCTCATTGCAGTGGCTTCCCTTGTTGCGGAGCACAGGCTCTAGGTGTGTGGGCTTCAGCAGTTGTGGCATGCGGGCTCAGCAGTTGTGGCTCGTGGGCTCTAGACCGCAGGCTCAGTAGTTGTGGCACACAGAAGTCCCCTAACGATTTTTAGTACAGTCTTCCAAACTACATTCTAAGGAAATTATATGAATTCTCTACTCCCACCAGCATTACACAAAAATGTTTTCCTATATTCTCTTTTGGATATTACAATTTTAAAAATCTTTGCCAAATGATGGGCAAAATTTTGCCTACTTTTACAGATTTTTCCTGTCTCTTCCCTCACTATCAGATTACCAATTGTCATTTCTGGGTGAAATTAGTAAGCTTTCTCTCCAGTAGCAGTCCCCCTACCTGTCAATTTTCTAATCTTCGGCAGGAATTCAGAAAACATTTGTGGAGCATTGCACTAGAAAGGTACTACTGAAATGTAAAGGTAAGACTGCCCTAAAGAACTAAAAACCAATCTGACACACAACACAAAGGCAACAAAAGCAAAAATAAACAAGTGGGACTACATCAAACTAAAAAATTTCTGTATAGCAAAAGAAACAACCTACTGAATGGGAGAAAATATTTGCAAATCACTTATCTGATAAGAGACTGATATCCAAAATATATAAAGAACTCAAACAACTCAAAAGCAAAAAAGCACAAATAACCTGTTTAAAAAAATGGACATAAGATCTGAATAGACATTTTTCCAAAGAAGACATACAGATGGCCAATAGGTACATGAAAAGGTGCTCAACATCACTAATCATCGGGGAAATGCAAATCAAAACCACAATGAGGTATCACCTCATACCTGTTAGAATGACTATTATCAAAAAGACAGGACTTCCCTGGTGGTGCAGTGGTTAAGAATCCGCCTGCCAATGCAGGGGACATGGGTTGGAGCCCTGGTCCGGGAAGATCCCACATGCCGCAGAGCAACTAAGCCTGTGCGCCACAACTACTGAACCTGCGTGCCACAACTACTGAAGCCCACGAGCCTAGAGCCCATGCTCCACAAGGAGAAGCCACCACAATTAGAAGCCTGCACACCGCCAGGAAGAGTAACCCCTGCTCGCTGCAACTAGAGAAAGCCCGCATGCAGTAACAAAGACCCAACGCAGCGAAAAAAAACAAAAACAAAAAACAAACAACGATGCCACAACTAAGAGGTGGTGCAGCCAAAATAAACAAATAAATATATTTTTTACAAAGCTAGAAGTCATGATGCCATAACTACTTCTACTTGGCAAACTGCCAAAAGGCAGCCATAAAGGAAAGGAGGAGTAAAAAGATCAGATAAAACACATCTTCGAAATCAACTTCTGTGTAAGTGATGAAAGACACTAAAAGGCATCTGTTATGCCCTCACCCAGTCTTGTAACCAACCATATTATACAACCCATTTCTGTTCTTCCAAGCTTTCCCCAACCAGCATACATCACTTCTGCACTGCCCATAAAGTTAACTTATGCCTCACCTTTCTGACCTCCCGAGGGTTTTCTACTCTGACCCACTGCCTGCAGGCCCATGCAAGCCCCAATGTCCAGCAAGGTATGCCGCCAGGGCATTTACTGATTCAGCAAGTGAAGTTGGGCCTGCCTGGGCTGGTTCCCTCCCGACACAGATGAGACCTTTGATGAACATCTGGGGGATGTACAACAGAGGGAATATCACCAATATTTATAATAACAATAAATGGAGTATAACCTTTAAAAATTGTGAAGCACTGTTGTACACCTGAAACTTCTGTAATATTGTACAACTATACCTCAATTAAAAAAAAAAAAAACAGATCTAAAAAACAAACAATCTCCGGAAAAGAGATGTCCAGTGCTGGGAAGAGATGTCTTAGTCACGGGCTGGAGAACCCAGTCCTCCACTCCAAGGAGACCTGTGAGGAACCGACAAAGTGGCTGGCGCATACGCGGCGCAGAATGGAGAAATCTCAACTTAGAGACTGGGGCAGGTGACCCGGCTCAATTCCAAAATTTAACACTTACTTCAACTACCAGTTCATATCAAAAACTGTTCCAAGTCACTGTTCCAAGTCACTGTTCCAAGTCACACGGCTACTCAACAGCTTCTGTTCTCTTTCTACCAAACCGCAAGAGGAAGCTAGAGACCGCACCACTCTGCCCCGGGCAGTAAACGCTTCCTACTATTTGACCTCCATCCGGCCGGCTGCCACTGCAGCCTTTCCCCACGTTCTGCGTTCTCACCAGTGGATTCAGGAAAATATCCCCGCCCACACTAAACGCGTAACGCAGGCCTGAGCAAGGGAGATATCCTGAGGGACCGCGCGCGGTTTTAGGGTCAGGGAAGAGGATTGTAAAGTGCTCACTGCCTTTCGGTTCCGGGACAAGAATCACTTCCCAACGACCGTGAGTCACCAACCGCCGCCGCGGGCCGGAAGTCACTGAGCCGGCGTCCGCCCTGCTATGTAGGGCGGCGTTTCCCGTGAGCCCGCGGGCGCGCGAGGACTACGACTCCCGGCATGCTCAGAGGCCACGGGAATTAACCCTTCAGGGCCCGCGGATGCCCTGCGCCCCGCCTCCGCCCCTTACCTGGACCCCGCAGGGTGAGTTTTGGGGCGCTGGGGAGGGACTCTTTCCTTTATTTAAGGCTTAGGGGTGTGTGTGATGTACTCCCGGCTGGAGGAATGATTCTGACTTTCCTAAAATGAGACAATTTGCAGTAATGACATTCAAATTCTTTATTTGCGAGTGGGAGACCCATTATCAACTCTCTGAATCCCAGGGTCTAAGAGGTATCACTACTATCTTCCTCAGAATGCTATCTAAATCGTCTCCTTCTTTACCCCCAGAACAAAAGTAACCAGCAACCCATCCCCTCTTCCGTACTCCCCCCATCGACTTTCACCCTTCCCCAGCGCCCCCAGCAAGGTTTGTAACCTGGCTACTGAGTCAGGGTTTTATTATCCCTCCGGTTGGGTGTGAGTACTCATGGAGCCTAGGGGACCTCTCGCATCCTTTTGGATTAGAGATTTTAGAAATTAGGCCCTTTGCCTCTCAGAGCCTGCCCTTCCCCCCAGGTGCCACCACGGAGTCCCTGCAGGTTCAGCAGGCACCCTACCTTTGTCTGACTTGAATGACCATAAGCTTGTGGACAAGGTTCGTTCCTTGATCCTTGCCTTCATCCCCACCTCTAAAACAACACTGGACACAGGGTACAATGCGGGGGGTGGGGGTCACACTCTTCTGTTGCTATTCTTTCTCTATATTGTGCAAAGTTCCAGTTCTGGGCTGGGAGAGAGGGGGTTAGGGACTTGAGGTATTAAGGATTATTAGGCTGTGGGGCCAACTACCCTGCTCCTCATCCATGGTAAGAGGGAAATGGAAGGGCTGGTTGTTTCCTTCTCCTTTCACTACTCCCAGATTCCACTTGAACAATCCCAGTTCACAAGGCCCCCATCCCTGCCTCAGCCTTCAGGAGTCTAAAGCTGCTAGGAAAAAGGGCTATTCTGAGTCAGGCGGTTGGGGGCCTGAAATGCCTGGATGCCCTTCTTTGCCTCACCCCTATTTCAGTGTTTGTCACTGGCAAGCAACCTATCCTCACCCTGGAGGTTAACTCCCCCATTCGGGGCAGTCTCTGGCCTCCTCCTCCTCCCCCTCCCCCCCAAAGCGGCCATTGTTCTGGTCAGCATTTGGGGCGGGGTGGACAGAAGGGAGAAGACCTTGGAGCAGGAGTCCTGAACTGTAGGAGGCCAGGGGAGTGAGGGCAGGCCGTCATATCTCTCCTCTATCTCACCCTCCCCACAGCCAACTGGCTCCCTGCCCCTGCCCCCGCCCCTTGACATCCCAGACTCCCTGGCTATTTAAACAGAGATGGGTGCCCCCATCAGCACACTGTCCTTTGGCCACCGGACATCATGCCTCCCAAGAAGGATGTTCCCGTGAAGAAACCAGCAGGACCCTCTATCCCCAAGCCTGCTGCCAAGCCAGCAGCAGGGGCCCCTCCAGCCAAGACCAAGGCTGAGCCAGTGCCAGCACCAGTGCCAGCTGTCCTTCCAACCCCTGGGAAAACCCAGGAGCCCCCCATCGATCTCTCCAAAGTGGTGGTGAGTCCCTGGAAAATGAGAAAAGAGTTTGGAGGGGGTGGTACAAGGGTGGGATACAGCCTAGGGGACTAGGGGTATCTAGAAGGTAGGGAATCGGTAAGCACTGGATAACAGTGGCACTTTCTCTTAGTACCCCATTTGGAAGCATCCAGGCTTATGACTCTGCTGTTGTCTTTGTTGTCACGTGTGTGTATGTACACACCCACACCCCCCCACCTTCTCACCGACCCTCCTGCTGGAGGCAGGGCCTGTAAGATGGGGAACATCTGGGTTCTGAGGACAGTTTCAAGGTGAAGGGAGGGAGCTGCTGTCTGTGCCTGGCTGACTATTCAACACTAAAGGCCACAGCTCTGAACCCCAGGAGGAAAGGCTGAAGAGGACAGACTTGTTAGACAATCACAGCTGGGGGCCAGGGGTAAATTTAGCTTTTGTTCAGCCCCCAGTTATGTGAGGGATGCAGGGCTCAGGGCAGTAGAGGGAGGGGAACAGGTGGCATGGGATTAACCCCGTTCCCTGGAAACCCTCCCCCCAATAATTCCTCCTCTTGGGATTCTCCCAAGGTCTGGAGCTGGGAATGGGACTGAGGTGGCTGGGCTCCCAGCCTGGTCCCTTTGGGCCCCTCCCCAGAAGTGGCTGCCAGTTGGTCGGGAGGAGTGTTGGAGAGGAATTGAATGAGCCCTGTCATCTCTCCTCACCTGCTCTTTTCTTCCACAGATCGAGTTTAACAAGGACCAGCTGGAGGGTGAGGCGAAGCCCCTGAGCCCACTGTCCATCCCAAGTCCCTCTTCAGATCCTCCTTCTATTCCCCTAACTCCATTCCTGACCTTGAAAACTCCCACACTAGTACTCTTTGTGTTCCCCGTTCTGCTCAGCTCAAGCACATAGTTTCTGAATCTCCTTTCTCCTGGTGGTGATGGGACCCCTTGTCAACACTGACCCCTCCTTATACTTCAGAGTTCAAGGAGGCCTTCGAGCTGTTTGACCGAGTAGGGGATGGAAAGATCCAGTACAGCCAGTGTGGGGATGTGATGAGGGCCCTGGGCCAGAACCCTACCAACGCCGAGGTGCTCAAGGTCCTGGGGAACCCCAAGAGTGATGGTGAGGGGACCTCTGGGACGATGCGGGTTTTCAGTTTGGTGGTGGAACCGAGGAATGTTGGTAAGGTGACAAAAAATGCTGATGTGGGTCCCAGGACTTTAGAAACTGTCAGACGCAGGGGCAGAAAAGCATCGTGAATGTTGAAGGGATAAAACCCTTCATGGTGGGTATGGGAGCTGGGTCCTGGGTGACACTACAGTGACCTCTCCTTCACTTCTCTGATCTCCAGAGCTGAAGTCCCGGCGTGTGGACTTTGAGACTTTCCTGCCCATGCTCCAGGCAGTGGCCAAGAGCCGGGACCAAGGCACATACCAGGACTACCTGGAGGGGCTTCGGGTGTTTGACAAAGAGGCGAATGGCAAAGTCATGGGAGCAGAGCTCAGACATGTCCTCACCACCCTGGGTGAGGCAGGCACCAGAACTCCTGTGGGGCTGAGAGAAGGGGGTGAACTAAGGAGAAGCTTGGCTAAGTAGGCAGAGCCAGGGAGGGATTACTTTCCTGCAGATCATGGGCAGGAGACTGAGAAGGTCAGAGCCTTGGGGACAGTCTGAAGGTCTTACTCCTGTGGAGGCTAAAGTGTGTGGGCTGCAGATGCCTCCCAAAGGGCAGAGGAAAGGGGATGAGGTGGGAGATTTGAGTTTCGGTTTTGGAAGAGATGGTCGTACTCTATGATATGGTATGTCTCTTAATCCTCTGGAATTCAGTTTCCTTATCTGTCAAAACTTTCACCGGGTGTAACTGAGGTGAAACGGAAAGCAAGATTCAGGGACACGTTCAAGGCATGCTCATTACAGGGAGAGGATTCTCTTGGGGGACTGTTGCTGTGGGCAAGTCTCCAGGGTGGAAGAAGAGGAGGTACCACTCAGAAGAAAGAGGCCTAGGTTGATGAGGGAGGGAAGGCAGGGGCTAAAACGCCGTGTCTGGGGCTCAGGAGAGAAGATGACTGAAGAGGAGGTGGAGGCAGTTCTGGCAGGACATGAGGACAGCAACGGCTGCATCAACTATGAAGGTGAGGGGCCAGAGGAGCAGAAGGGACAGGGGAAGCGGGGAGGCAGGAAGTTCGAGGTATGTGGGTGAGGCATCCTGGGACCCATATTATCTAAAGTCAGGTGGATTATCATCAGGCCAGCTTCTGCAGCCCCTCTTGCCTCCTCTCTCTGCAGCCTTCCTGAAGCACATCCTAAGCGTCTGAGCTCCACAGGTAGGGCCCTCCCACTTCGCCTTGAGAGGCAAGCCTCCTTCCCTTCCCTCAGCCAGGGTGCAAAAGCAGGGAAGTACGTCTGCATGTCCTGCTGCGCGAGAGCGCCAGGATTTGGCAACTTTCATCTTTTTCCACAGGTGCAGTGGGGTCGGATACTTCCCCCCTCCCGCCCCCGCAGGCGAAAGCAAGTTCCTGCCACCAGGAGGCTATTGTTTCAAAATAAAGAGACGGTTCCTCCCTTGGTCTCCGACTCTTGCTTTCTTTATAGGTGGGGGAGGGAAGGAAGGAAAGGGAGGGCTCTCTTCTCCCCCCACCCCTCCCCAATCCGACAACCTCTGACTTTCTTGCTTCTCGGAGGAGCAGATTCCTCGCGCTCCACTCCACCCTCTTCTGCAGTTTCTGTGCCCCAGTTAGGGCTGCTCAGGAGAAATGAACAGCAGTGGGTCCCGCCCACCTCATTACTAATATAGCAGCGTCATCTGCATAAACCCGGGCCAGGATTCCTATTGGCTGGGTCGGCTGGGGGTGACGTAATTGGGACGTACTAAGACTAGGGTTGGGCCCGGAACCGGAGCCATTACTGCAGGAAAAGGTCCCGCAGAGCTGAGCAGTCAAGATGGTGGGGCCCAGCGCTGGGAAGATGAGCGGGATTTGGGGCGAGAGGCGGGAAGCCGGGGATAGGGGGCGGGGAGAAGGCAAAAGGTAGGGGGTAAAGGAACCTGAGGGCCTTAAAGGTTGGAGGTGGGGTTGGAGTGTCGGGGATCCTGTCCTGCTGGGAAGCGGGTCCCCAGCATGGAACGGGAGTTTGTGGTTCAGAGTTCTTGGGACGGGGATAGAAGCTTGGGGGATTGGAGTTAAGATGCTGACCGCTCCCCTCTTCTCTGAGCAGTGTGACTTCACCGAGGACCAGACCGCAGGTAGGTAATCTGACCCCTATTGAGGTCATGCTTAGGGAGAAGGACACTCCCTCTAGCACCCTCCAGCCACCTGTCTTCTCTTCAGCACCCCCAGGGGAGTACTTCGTGGATTCCCTTCTCCCTCCTTCTGGATCTTCCATTTTCTTTTCTCACTCTTTCTTCCTCCCTTCCCTTGTACTCTAGATCTGAGCCCCAAGCACTGGGTGAGTTTTAGGTGGTGTGGGCATGTGAAACAACTTGGTCACTAATGCCTGTTGTGTGTGGGGCTTGGGGACTGTGTATTAAGCTGCCTGTGCTCCCCTGTTCCTTAGTTAGCTACTTCTGCCTCTTTTCTCCTCCTGTGATAACTTTCCCCCTCCCCCAGCTTGGAATCGTGAAGGCTGTAGACAGCAGTGACCTGTTACTTTGTGAAAATGGAACAGGGGAGTTTGCTGAGGATACTTCTTTGTAGCTGTACTCTCTGAAAGGTCTCTGTACTGGAGGGGTGGGAAGTGGCAGGCTGGGATGACCCCAGTCCCAGGCTGCTGCTCCTACTTCCTTATAAGGACAGGGCCCAGACAGGGCGGTGGCAAATCCCTGCCCTGAGTAGTGAGGTGAGGAGGCTGGGCAGGCTGCTGCAGGCGGAGGGTATGTAAATGGCTGGTACCTCTGCCAAGGGGAGGAAGGCCGGGTATTTATGTGGGACACCTGAGTCGGAGGAAGGGACGCTGGATCACTTAGAGGGTTTGGGTGCACAGCGGTATAAATATCTGGTTTCCTCAGCATGATCAAAGTGGAATGGGCCACAGGGGCTGTAAGGGAGGGTTTGGGTCAACCCCCACGTGCCCAGTGCTGATGTTTATCTGAATCCTCAGAGTTCAAGGAGGCCTTCCAGCTGTTTGACCGAACAGGGGATGGCAAGATCCTGTACAGCCAGTGTGGGGACGTGATGAGGGCCCTGGGCCAGAACCCCACCAACGCCGAGGTGCTCAAGGTCCTGGGGAACCCCAAGAGTGATGGTGAGGGTCCTTAAGAATAACTCTGCAGTGTGGCAGTGGGTCTGCAGTCCTTAGCTGATGGCTTCGCTTTGTCTTCTTAGGCCCTGAACTCAAGCAGCTCTTGTCTAGCAAATCCCAGATAAGATTTCTCCTGCCTTGAGTGGGAACCACATAATCCCCAGTCCTGAGGATGCATGTGACTTTGCTTCCACCTCCTTTATGGCAGAGATGAACGTGAAGGTGCTGGACTTTGAGCACTTCCTGCCCATGCTGCAGACTGTGGCCAAGAACAAGGACCAGGGCACCTACGAGGACTACGTTGAAGGCCTTCGGGTGTTTGACAAGGAAGGGAACGGCACAGTCATGGGTGCTGAGATCCGGCATGTTCTCGTCACACTGGGTAAGGCTCTGCCCTTCCTTCTTGAGCTGAGGTGCCACCTGATAGACCTCACGTGTCACCCAATTCCAGAACGCTCACTCTTTCTTCCCCTCTGCAGGTGAGAAGATGACAGAGGAAGAAGTAGAGATGCTGGTGGCGGGGCATGAGGACAGCAATGGTTGTATCAACTATGAAGGTGAGGGACTAACTGGGGTCTCACGGAGGAAGCAGCCATACAGGGCAGGTCAAGTGCAGCATTTGGGGCTTTCCCTGTCCCTGGATTCAGGCTCCAAAAAGTGCCAACAGGCAAGGGGCAGGGCCCAGCCCAGCCCAGCCCAGGAGTGGGAGGCCAGGGGGGTATGACAGGAAAGGAAGGGCTTATGTGGCATGAAGGGTGGGAAAGGGATGGGAAGTAAAATAAATGGATGTCTAATCCCTCGCCGCCTGACCCCTTCACCCCATGTCTGTGTCTTGTCTTCACCATTAATGTCTCTTCCTTCCTGCAGCGTTTGTGAGGCATATCCTGTCGGGGTGACGGGCCCATGGGGCGGGTACGGCTCCTCCCAGCCCCTCTTCTCTAGTTGACCTCCCCAGTGTTTTTCTTCCCAGCCTTTGCTCTCTAGCCCCTGCCCTTCCCCTACTACCATCTGACTTCCTCCTGGCATGTGTCTGCATGGAGCTGACTGGGGAGGGGAGGGGTTCCTCAAAGAGGAAGACAGCCTGGGGGTGTGGTACCTCCTTCTCTCCTAGAATGGGCTGAGGTTTTGCTTCTTAGGGCGCTGGTGTCTGGGAACTCACACCAGCCTATCCCAGTCTTGCTTCATGGTCATCCTTTAGCCCGGGAGCACGGGCAGCTGGCAGCGGGGGGTGGGTTGCCTGTCCCACTGTGCTACTGTAGCTGAAGTCTCTTTCCCGTCCTTCTGCTGGGCAGCTCGGAGGTACCCTAACCCAAAACTCTGTCTTCTCCTCCCGCCAATGGCTGACAGTAGCTGTAGGTGTAGTTGAGAACTCTTCTGCCTCTGCTGTGTTCTTGCTGCTCAGGGTGGGGTGGGGAAATAACAGCTGGTGGGAGGGGAACTGGGGGCTGAGAGGACCGGTCAGACTCAAGGTGGCCCCTCTGCAAACTGACCCCAAGGTTGGTTGCTGTGGGCACATTCCTTCTTAGGCTACCTTTGTGGTCTCGTGGTCTCCTGGCCCCTGGTGGACCCCTCCCCTTGGCCCTGCTCCCTGGATCACCCCCTCTCCTTTCCACAGAGCTCGTCCGCATGGTGCTGAATGGCTGAGGACGTTCCCAGTGTGCACGGAAACCACGCCTTCCCTGTGGGAGACTGTGTATGTAGCCCAGGAGGCCTCCTAGGTGCTCTTGTCACAGTAGTTTTCCCAGATTGTCTCTCTTGGATGATGTTTGCCTTCAGCATTCACCAAATAAACTTGCTCTCTGCCCTACATGCGGTTCTGCTTTCCTTCCTGAGCAGGGTGAAGGGGAGGACAGTCTGGGGTCAATGGACCAGAGGCTGGGGAAAGCCGGCCGGCAAAGGGCCTCTAGGAACCATCTTTGCCTGATTTAAGAAATGCTGGCCTTAGTTATTGATGCTACAAAGGCTACCCCTTGGGGATTAGGAAAGCCATAAATCCCTGTAGCACCAACGCTGGCCACCCTTGTGCCATCCCATATGGTGCTGAGTCCTCTCCTAGCCCTCCCCAGCACTGAAGGCCTTTTGTCGGGGAGCCCGGGGAGTGTTTATTGGCACGAAAGCCAGGCCATATTAGCACTGCCTGAGCCTGTCTCACTTCAGCAGGGCTAGGGGCCAACAGTAACAAGTAGCTGAGATGCCTGCCTTCTCCCCGCCTAATAAGGGAAGATATGAAGCCACCACTTCTGAAAGGATAAATAGACAAAATCTCTGGGATGTGAGGATGTCCTTCCAAGTCTTAAATGGCTATTTTGAGGGCAGGTGAGAGCGAGCCTCTGCCCAGTCCCTGCACCAGTCGTACAGTCTGGACAGCTGTGCTGCCCTTGGCCTGTTTGGGAGAGAGGCCCAGTGCCTCTGCAGCCCCACCGATCGCCACTGCGAAAGACTCCAGGAGTGCTGCCCACAGCCTGATTCCCCACCCCCCCCGCCCCGCCTAACAGCCACAGGTAAGAGAACACAGAAGGCATCCACAGATGGAACTGAAAGCAAATTAATTTATAAAAAAAAAAAAAAGAAAAAAAGAAAAAGAAGAAGAAAGAAAAAAGAGAAAATTTACAGAAAACTTTTGAACAGAAGAAAGGTGCCAAGACGCAGAGGAAGAGAAATATGGGGACACGAGGAACACAAGGCCTGGTGGGAGGAACCAGGAAGAACTGGTGGAGAGCCTGGAGTCACTTTCGCCTTCACACCAAGGACGAAGAGCGGGGAGCTGGTACTGGGGGCACTGGGATCCGGGGAGCAGAGCTGAGCCATGAGCTGCGAGCAGGGGGTCGGCCCTATCCTAGGTCGGGCACCCCCTCCCCGGCTGCTGCCCCAAATCCCAAGGAATCCCTAGCTACTGCCAGCCACGGCTCTGATGGTCTTGGTGGGAGAGGGAAGAGGTGAGCGGGGTGACCCACCCAGCCCTAAGAAGGAGGTGCTTAAGTGCTTTTGACAATTTCACGTTTTTAGGACTTCCCATCCTCTTAGAGCCCCTCTCCACATCTTCTGGGAGCCCGCTCGCTGACAGAGCCCAGGCAGGAGGCAGCATAGCCCCGAGCGCCCTTTCTTCCTCTACTGCCTGCCACAGGAACCCCCAAAATGTGTCCCCACCAAATACACATACGCTGACATCAACTACGCAGGAGACTTTAAAACACAAAGCTGACATTCAGAGGGAAAGGGGCCATTGGCTGAGCTGGGGTGGCCTAAAACAGCAACACCGAGGAAGCAGCAGGAGAGATTAGTGGGAATAAACTGGGGGTGGGGTGGCCAAGGGGGTTCGGGAGCTGCCTCA